GCTAAAACTCTAAACGCAAACTTGAAATTTGATTGGCGGTTTTTACTTGATACCGAAAAATGAATTACTCATCTTGGACCAGAAGGTGAATATTATAGAGCGTAGAGCGCGATATAGATTGCAAAGATATGAATTTTATTTTCGAGTGGCAAAACAATATTTTACGAACGAGCGCAGCGAGTGAGTAAAATATTGTTTTTGCCACGAGAAAATAAACTTCATATCTTCAAGCCGCCGTGTAATTTTCTTTTTATTATATAGGCAAAAAGACATCGATAAAATAATTGATTTTTATTCGCCAAAAAGTAATTGCGACGGCTCAAATTTACAGTGTAGCAATATAAGACATTGCCTACAATAATCTTGAGAAATAACACTGAGCTGAATAAGGCTCTACAATTAATGACAAAATATAAGCAAAGCTTTGAAAAATGTGGAAGTAAAATTCAAAAGACGCAAGGCGCCTACAAATTTCGAAGGGAAATTACCGGAATTACGTCATCGATAAACTCACTTGTGAGATTATGGAAAATAAACCACTCGGGTCCCGGATGTAGTTTTTATGAATTTTACGAGTGGTATATTTTCCAGTAAAACACTCGTGTCTATATAATAAAAACGTACTTACAACTGGTGAAATTTTACGGTGGTTATTTTCCTACCCACTAAAGCAAGCGTTGCCGTGCGAGTTTGTCCAGAAAGTTGCAACGAGGGAGGAAAAGTAGAACTTTTGTTACAATTGATCGAGTAAACGTATTGTTCTTACTAGCCTGTTCACAGATCCTCTATTTTCTCTTCAAGAACGAAAGGAAAAACAAAACAACGTCTGTGTACAGGCTATGTTCTTACAAAACCGCTTTTTAATTCCACTCACAAATGACTCGTAGACGCAACAACGTTTAGCCAAAATGACTGATAACTCTAAAGGCTACATCGGCGTGTTTGAGCTTCAATGAAAGATTTTCAAAGCCTTAATCCGCCCTAGAGGTAAATTCAAGAAAGACAAGCAATCTGACATTACACAGAAAGCTTTTTTTTTCTTTTCCGGTTAAGCTACATTATCCGTTTGACAAAAGATATAGACTAAACACGTAAATTTGACGTTCTTAAGGCTGGTTTTCACTAGCGACGGAGTCGGAGTCGTAAAAGGAGTCGTAAGAGCGCTTATGACCTTGTGAAAATCAAAAATCGGAGTCGTAAGAGGAGTCATAAGCGCGACGGAATCGGAGTCAGAAGAATCAGAACCTTTCCATTTTCTTCCGACTACGCTTACGACTCCGTCGCTTCGGTTCCGCTTATGATCTAGTGAAAACCAGATTGTCGGAGTGGGAAGCAGATGCGGAAGGATAAGCCAATCAGAATGCTCGTTCCCACGCTTTGTGATTGGTTTGGTTCTTCTGCTTCTGCTTCCGACTCCGACAATCTGGTTTTCACTAGATCATAAGCGGAACGTAAGCGACGGAGTAGTAAGCGGAATCGGAACGCTGTTTTCACCAGATCATAAGCTCTACGCTTCTGATTACGACTCCGACTCTGACTCCGTAGCCAGTGAAAACCAGCCTTTAGGGAGGTATGATTTCTAGTCTTTTCATGAGAATGAAATTAGAGACAATAGTAAGGACCGGATCTGACATAAAAATGAATAAACTTTAATAAAAGAGGAAAGGCGATATTTTGGAAGGAATTTTTTTGCGATTTTTTAGTTTTCTTCTTTATTGATGCGGTAGATTCAAAGAGATTTCACCACACTGAACAGGAACCACGCCATTGCATGCACTGTTAGGAACTGGCTGTCATGATATCATTCGAGTTAAACTTTTAACTAAGGCGAGTGCAGTTATTCTCGGTGATAAAATAATTTTGCCTTTTAAAAAATGCCCCAATATCTGAACTAACAAACATAGGGAGTGTAAGTTTTACAAAACTGACACGCGAGTTTATAAACAACAAATTTTCTTTCTGTTCTAAAAAAATATAGCAATTACATTTTCAAGTTTCTTTAATTACAGTATTACATTAGTGCCGTATATTATTATTTGATCCTCTACCTTAAGCTCCGGAAAGACATTTGAAAATGTTTTTGCGCAAAAATGATAAAACGAACAAAATGGTCCAATAATGTTAGAATGAAGCTGACCGGTTTGTGCGATAACATTTTTTTGTTGGACGAATGATTTTTGATTTAAATTAAGTATCGTACCCAACATTTCAAAATGATGCGAAATGTTAACCCCCCCCTAAACGATCCAACCCTGAAAAGTGTTGCATGATAAGTTGGCTTAAAGTTTGGATGTTTTGGCTAAAATCCTATTCCGGGTTACAAGGCCAACAAAAGTCAAAGTCTCGTCAATAATTAACGACGTTCAATCCTTAAGAGGATTCACCAATTAGCTTATATAGCTAAGGTATCTGACATTTGAATTAAGTTTATTATTATTACTATTATTATAATTACTATTATTATTATTATTACTATTACCATGGCAACCATTCCAGGGCGTCTATACCGAATAACCTTTGCGCAGGCACGATAAACCATACCATATATGGCTTCTGTTCACACACAAGTGATTTTGGCGCGATTTCTGTTATGGACGGTCGAAGCTGCGCCGAGCCGATCTCTAAAGTTGAGAGTCACATATCTGATGGGTGTAAATACTTTAGAGCTTTTCGTGTCGGCACGAAAAGCGACTCGGCATGGTGTGAACAAACCTGGTGGCGTGTGTGGCAGAGCGGTTAACACTTCTAACTCTGGATCTGGAGGTCTGGGGTTCAGGCCTCGCCCGTCGCGTTGTTTCCCTAGACAAGAAACTTTACTCCACTTTGTCTCTCTTCAACCAGGTACATAAATGGGTACCGGCGACATACTGCTGGGAGGTAACCCTGCGATGGACTAACATCCCGTCCAGGGGGAGTAGCAATACTCCTAGTCTTCGTGCTACGGAAACCGGAACATGATAAGCTCCGGCCGTGTGGGCCTTTGGCTCGTGTGCGCCTTCACCTTACCTTACCAAGTTTAAAACAGCAATCTCGTGGTGTCTCAAAGTAACCTAAGTTTTCAGAAGCGAGGTATCTGGACGTAGATTTAATTCACTCAATTCACAAAATACGCTGAAGGCGGATTCAAAGGATTTAGACTTGATTCTGTTCAGAAACAATCTTATATAGATTCTGATTCTCTTAAAAAAAATACCTCCTCCATCACTAAACAAAAGGAGCATGAATTTCTCAAATGTAAAGTAGAAATCTAAATCAAACTCTAAGAACGTTGACTAATACTACCAGAAGAGAAGACAGGCAACGTATGAGAAGATTGTAAACTAAACTACTGTGTTAAAACTGAATTAAGACGTTCGAGCTTACATTGGGGCGTGTATGCGACAACTGAAATTCACCTTCTTGGGAAGTTTGCGCAATGTGGTCTTCGCAGCAAGCAGAAAAAGATGAAACTTCGCGAAAATGTTAGCATTTCAAGCACGATTATATATTTTCAACCCATAATCTGGCTAGGAATATTATGTGATTGTTGAAAGCGTGAATGATCTGGCTCCAAGGCAGATACCACGCACTTACGATTTTGTAAAAGATTTACGGGCTTATAGAACAGGCGTTGCCACTTTGCATCATATACAACTCGTTTTCTATATCTTGTGATAGAATTTCGTTAACTGCGACAGCATTATTCAAAGATATCTCTCCTGAATTATCTGCCGAGAAGCGTTCTCTCTCATTTGCTCTGACCGCTGATAAAAGAAGTGAAGACGCATTATTTACAGGTTTAACCTCCACCCTAAAGGTACGGAAAAACGGGCAACAAAAAACGTGCAACTTGTTCTGCAACATTGCTGCAAAACGAGTTGAATAGCGATGTTACGCATTTTACCACCCATGTTAAAACCTGTTAACAATCTGATTTGTTGCAAGACAGGTTTGATGTGGCTGGTAAAACGTGCAACATCGTTTTTCAACTCGTTTTGCAGTAATGTTGCAAAACAATTTGCACGTTTTTTGTTGCCCGTTTTTCCGTACCTTAAGTAAAAATATTTACAAATTCCAACAAGAAGAAGACCTGCTATTACTCTGTTTATTGTCAACTTTCAAATTCCAACACTTAATTACCGAAATTTGTGAAAATTTTACTTTATGTCGAGGCTAACCCTATATGAATGTGTCGTTAATGGTGTAATCAGCGGTAATTTTTAATGTGGCTTTTGTGTGTCAAGGACCCTGGCCAAGGACCCTGGCCTTTGAATAGAAGCGAGGATGGCGGTGCCCTTGCTTTAGGTCCCGGAGTAGGCCTTGTTTTGTTTCAAACCTTCTTGCTTTACATTTGCAAATCGTGGTATTCTCATGCTAACAAGCCCGTGAACATGATCATTTACATATGAAAAACAAGAAGGTTTGTGACAAAACAAAGTCACCGCAAACCTAGCTTCTATTCAAAGGCCAGGGCACTGAGCACACAACTGTAAAATAGCCTATTCGACTCTAAACTACTACTGGAAAGAATGTGTATGACAGTCTTTTACTGAAATTTTATCTTTTATAGTAATTATTTCTCTAACTATACATTACAACAAACTGCACTGAAAGCAAAGAAAAATAGCAAAGATGTTAAGGAATGGGAAGGTTTGATAAACGTTTCTCTGTTACGAGAGGAAATCAAGTGTCAAGTTTCCTTTGTTGCTTGAGAAATAAATCAATTTATCCTATAGTTATAATCTTCTTCTTAGCTGACTGTTCTAAATTTTACAAAGCTCGATTTTAATCGGCAAATTCTAATCCGTTTTTAATCATGAAAGTCACTAAATATTTCGATAAAAAGGACTGAATACCTCTACAGCAGGTTTTGTTTGCAGATGATGAAAAATGATATGACGACCTTTACCTTGACTACAAATTCAGTAATCTTAAAGGAGCAGTGTCGCAAAAGTTATTAACATGCACTTTTTAGGAAGGTGAAACAACGCCAAGAAATATTGCAATTGGAGACTCCCTTATTAGGACTGGGGCCTAGATACTTCTTCAATCGTTATACGGGACACTGAACCCCACCCAGTGTAAGAATCACCCTGGGCGTGACCACTACTGCACCGCCCTACCCACAATTCTACTCTAACTGCGCCTTGTGGGATGTTCTCACAGTACCCCTCAAATGACCGATGGTACAGCTGATCACCAATACTCCCAGATGGCCAGCCGCTATACAAGGCAGCCTCAATGGTCATTGGTCCACTGCACTCTTTGCCGTTGAACTTGAAATACCACCTACTACATTTACCATGACTGTGGATTCTTGTGTTTCCCTGGAATGAGACTTTGAGCGCTGAATAAGACTGCAGTTTGTTGAATGCACAATCCTGGAATAAAATCGAACATACTGCCGATTACGGCGACGAGCAGCTGTGTAATGACCGATAAGTCGTCTAGTACATTTCTTCCAAGGTTAAACTCATGTTCTTCATGGGCAACCGCAAACCGCAGTTCACAGTTACGCGTTGCAGTTTCAAATTGCCGAGATTTGAAATATCAGCAAGGCGTTCATTGTTGAGTGTTGCCATGCTGTTTTCGTCAAGTCGAAGTGCATTACATTAATCGCACAAAAACAGGAATAATTCTTTATTCGAATTCAAAACTCCAACTAACACCTCGCAGACGAATCTAGTAAAGAAAGCTACTTCGTGCCTTTAAAAGTGAGTCTGTATAATTTTTAGACGCAACAAAAACCTTGCCGTAAGTCACTTACCGCTGGAAGCTCTTCCTGCCATTCAAACGTGAACTGCAAACTGCAAAAGGGGTCGCAAAAACCGTGTTCAAGTAATCAGGTTTGCGGTTTGCGGTTTTCCATGAAAAACCTGTTGCTAAAGGTCTTATTAGCAAAAAAAATCCTTAAGTATTCCAACGCCGCTTATTTTTGGGACAAAAATGAGCACTGACTACCAAAACTTTAACGACTACGTTCAGTTCTCATCATGAGACGACATAACGTTCTTCTCCCGAGAGATCGCAGCTCGTCCTTTGAAATCAAAATAAACAATGCACAAATGCCTCACGGGAAGTGAAAAAGATTCTTCAAGAAGGACAATGCCTCCAAGAGAAATGAATGCCTCTATCACTCCCACCAGGCCCACAATATGTCACAGCTCAAAAAAAGACTGTTTCAGTAACTCCTTACTGTTTCTCTTAAACGCCGTCTACAGTGGTCAGTGGAAACTCTCCTTTGGGACACCTCCATTCAGGGGACACAAAATTTTGTCCCGGAAAAATGTTCACATAATTTATGTATCTAATGCCTCTATTGGAGGGACTCCTCTATTCACTGGAAAGGGACACTATTTTAACCTTCGCCTAGCGGCTCGGGCTAAAATGAGTCTGAGTCAGGCCCAAAACATATGCCCGCGAACACAATAAACACTTAATGACTGATCCCGAAGGAAACAGTTAATTTTGTTTCCCGAGGCGGAGCCGGACCAGGATTATTTTTTCTTTTGGCTCTTACGCCCTCGTTTACGCGGCTTGCGGCCTCGAGCTCTCCGCTCGCTCGCATGGTTTACACGTGGAGTATATTAAGCTTTGTAAAGGAAAATGAGAGACTGCCCGCAGCCTATACAGCCTAAAATGTTGAGCAAAAATATTTAAAAACGGCTGTAGAAAAATCAGATTTATCTAAAGTTGAAAACAATCTGCGGCATCGTTTATCACAAATTGTCTATTTTTATTCTATTTTTTAACAAATTTGGGGTGATATGCACTTAAATTATCAAAACCGCTGAACTGATTGATTAACAAATTACCTTCTTTCAGTAGCCAATGTATCTCTAAATCGCTGTTTTTTTAGTTTGAGGTCCCATGTTTGTGTTGTTTTATTCAGTTAACAAAATTGAAAACTGGCGGTGTTTTTTCCCGCCTTCTGTAATGCCATTTTCCACCATGCTTTAATCGCGTGCTGTTGTATCCCAAGCAGGGTGCTAAAACCGCTAAATTATATCACGAGATACATTTGCGATTGTTATGGTCACGTGACAAAGAATAAACCAATGGTAGGTCATGGTAGTCCCTGTTTAGTTGAGTGAAAGTCTAGCCTGAATGTAACAATGATTCTCATATTTACCTTGATCTTTCCGTTATCAGTATCGCTGGCTGATTTCCACACACATTGTTTCCAGTTGGTTTGTGGTATTACACTTGCTTGACTTGCTTTGGTGCTTTCTCCTTTCTCTCCCTTGTCTCCTTTTCTTCCCTGATTTCCCACAATGCCTTGCTCTCCTTTCTTTCCCTGAGGTCCAGGTTCACCTTTTGTTCCCTTAATTCCTCGGGGTCCGCTTTTCCCAGAAGGCCCATCGCGCCCTCTATCTCCTCTTGGACCCGGCATTCCTTGCTATCCCTTGTCACCAATTTGTCCCTTTCCTCCCTCCCTTCCTTGAGGTCCTTGCGGCCCGGGAACGCCCGGCATTCCCGGCATGCCATTTAATCCTGGAATGCCAGGGAAACCTAGTATAGATCGCTGAAAGGAAAGATGAATTGCCCTTTAATGTGGAAACCAAACTGGTTAATAACCTGCCCCATTAACATTAAATTTAGCCACGAAAGGACAGGGATTATCGTAGCCTCGTAGTAGGGGGGGCAAATAAGGTGCATTATGGTAGATGTGCAAGTGGTGAATGGAAATTGAAATATATAAGCAATAGAAAACGTTTCCCTTGTTTGAATAACCTGGGAAGGGTTGGGAGTATTCGAGTCAGACGCGAGACAAAGTCGAGGGTTTGCATAACTGTCGAGAATTCCCCCAACCCCTAAGTGTTTATATTAGGCTATGTAAATACAGGAAAAAAAGTTTTCTATTGCTTTTATAAATTAACTTTCCCGCAAAAAAAAAAAAAAACCGCAAAACTCTTTGTTGTGGGACTGATTAAAAGAGAAATTCTTACAAGTCGCGAAGTCTTGTACACGAAGTCTTTGTAAAGATTTTCCAAGTTTCAGCCGACGATGGAATAGGTAAATAAAGTAAACCTGTCGAGTTTTCAACTCAAAAACTTTTTTTCAATTCTTGCCTGCGTGATAAGTGGCGCGCGAAAAGCAAAATATGTTCACGATACCATGTTTACACACTCTCTGGGAAACACGCCACTCGGCCAATCAGAGCGCGCAACGTTGTTGATGTCACGGAATCCGACCGGAAGTCACTCGCGCCAGTGTGAATATACTGCGCATGTGTTTACGTCCGTGTGGTCAGGTACTTTTGAAGTTCAAAATATAACGCAAGATTCTAGTACTCGAAAGCTCGCGTTTGGGTAAAAATTATTTGGTCATTTCCGATATGGTGGTTAAATTATTGACCTTGTTTCCTTTCACATTTTTTGCGATTGAATTTTTTGAAGTGCCCATTTGGAGTACACGTCTTAGCCGTCCAAAAGTATCGAGCCTCCGAAAGTAGCGATAGCTGAAGGGTGATAAAGCCGAAGTAACGAGGGTCTTTACTTTCGAAACTTTACAGTAGTAAAATGGTCTTTGGGAGTACCTAATTCACAGGCGTACTCCTTTTTATCTTCATGCATTTCTTACCTCGCATAAATCTTTTGACTTTGCGGTGTTTTGCTGCTGAGGTGATGTGGTTGTTCCCACTGAACCGCCAGAGATACAGAGAATCAGGAAAAGAGCGAAATACTGCGCCATGGTGAGAGCTGAACCAAAACACTGCGGCACTGAAATCAGTGCTACGTGCTCGTCAGTTAAATAGCAGATATTTTTAAGTCAGTGTTATAATCCTGTCAGTTATTTTTTCTTTGTTTTTACTTTTTATTCTCCTTTTATGGAAATTTATTGCAACCTCAAGTCATTCTCTTACTCTATGAGGAGGGGGGAGGGGGTGGGGTGCAGGGTTCTCACTGAACAGGGTCAAAAGATGAACATTCTAAATATAAATGTTATAAATTTTTACTAAAGCCAATAGTTTTCATAGTTGTACCAGCACTTGCTTGAGCTTTGTGTGCCTAACGGTGCTCGGTCCCTTTCTTCAGTCTCTTGATGTTTTGAGCGCGCGCCAAAATTTTAAGCGTACCTTCAGTCTTACCCACTTGATGGTGTTAATTCACAAACACTTTGATTCCAGTCGTATACAAGCCCGAACTTATCCATTTTTGCATTGTTTATTTATTTATTTTTTATTAATCCTTTATTTTTATCCATGTACCTTCCTGCAGGAAACTTACCTACTCAAGGTGGTTTGATTCTAAGATAAGAAGCGTTTTTTAAAGATTAAAATCTTTTTTCATGTTTTGCTGCTGTTTAGTTGATGAAGTGTGGTGGTTTTTGAAAATACGTCATAAACATGACAAGCACTGTAACAGTTCTCTGTTATTTGGGTTTACTATGATCTCTGTTACGTGCTTAGTGCTAATGTCTTGTTCTTGTTTCAGGGTGTTTCAGGGTTTGTTTTCTTTGGTTGTTGTTTTTGTACAATAATTAATGATATGCTGGTAATCGATACAGTTTTTAGTGCCACACTCTGCGCAAGGTACCGAAAGATATTACCAACACATGAGAGTTTTGCGAATGACAACTTTCAATTCCATTGTTCTTATTTTTCCTGCGATGCCATGTATTCTCTTTTAAGCTTTACGTAACAAATTTAAAAAGTGGTGACCTGTTGATTCCTTTTTAACTTGTTGTACACATGATAAGGGACCGGCCATTATTTGTGTAGAGATGTAGAGGTGTTTGTGTGTTGGGGGGGGGGGGGGGGGGGGAGGGGAGGAATGTGGGAAAGATCAACATTTCTTTAAGCCCCCCCTGCAGACCATATATCAAATAGCAAGTGACCACCCTTCTTTATCCAATATTTACGTGATGACCCCCGCCCCCCACCTCATATCTCCTCTTATATGCTCTACGTAGTAATTATTAAAATGCATGTAACAATACTCTGTTAAGTGTGAAGACTTATCGGTAAATAAACGAACTAAGTTACTTTGCATAACAGTGGCACTAACCCACTCTATTACAAAATCAGCGTATAAATATAGCAAAAGTGATCGATTTTTACAAATCGTGCCTTCATGGTAAACACAAGTGTAATAACCATGCATGCAAAATGTAATTCTTTTCAATGATTTTCCTGCAGTTTTAAATGGACTACTATCTTGTTGTTTTATCATGTTTTTCTTGGGATATTGAAGGGACACAAGCATTTCGTTAAAAGAAAATTAAGTCAAACCAAATATTAAAGCACATAGGTCTGGATTCCTTATTAGCTAAAATTTGAAATAAAAATGAAGTTTAGATTGCAAACAGAATTTCTGTCACATACAAATGACTAAGTTATACAAAATAGTGATGCTTTAAATAAACAGAAAGCAATAGGATTAGCATAAAAGTGTACAATTTAGCATTACTGCTTCACAAATATTGTTTGTGCTCTACGATTTAACTGCTTTACCCATCTTGGCCAATGGACCCCTCTTAAAATATACCTCGCGATCAAACTGCTGACCCCCTTAAACGTCTTCATAAAAAAGTTTAGCCCCCCCTCTAGCCAATCTAAAATAGCCTTGACCCCCCCCCTTCTTTTTTTTCTTCGCCCCATCTACATAAATAATGACCGGTCCCTAAAGTGATTTCGTAAGTTGATACAACAGCTCTCTCCTATCAAATAACGCCATTATACTTATTAAACTTGCTTCGCTCGCTCTAAATGCTACTCTTGATCGAGAATCGTGGGAGAAATGAGAGGTCAAAGTCGAATATAGCCTGCAAAGCAGTCGTATTTTCCAGAGCGATCCATTTTTTTTTTTCGGGAATAATGCTATGCCGCCATCTTGGACGTTAAAACTACCAGAGAGTTGGGGCGAGTTAACAGTTCCCGTTAAAAAACGCCTGCTCTGCAGGCTAAGACGAACGAAGGGCTAGAGCTCAAAGCATAACTTATTTTTATCTTTTTTTCTACTCTTAGCAATAATTTCACGGGCTGCTTTAAACCAAGTAGCGTTTTGTGCAATTTGTGTCCTGGCATCGTGATAACAAAATTGTGAGACAGGTGGAAGGAAACATTACTTCTTTGTTCTTTAAAACCCTTTAAGCCCCACATCATGAATTTCATCTCCTCATGTAATGGAATTTGGATTCTAGAATCCGGAAATTTTTGCTTGTGGAGAAGAATCAGGTTGGCAAGTTTGATGTCATGTTTATCCATAAGAATAATCAGGCACAGTTTTTTGTTTGTTGAAGAATTATCAAATTAAATATGACGCCTGCGTATACAGTCGTGAAAATTGAAAAAAATTAACCGTTAGCCGTAAAAAAATGTTAACCGTAAAAAAATATGGTCATAAAAATAAATGTTCAAGGTCTCGTCTGAAGACTCAATTTGATGATTTTACGAGTCTTTTTGGGATCTTGTAGAGTGAGAAAAGACAACACTCTCCTTTTTCAGTAAACTGGAAGTGTTGGAAGGGTCAGTCGAACGGTGTCGCAGCACAGACGTTTTGATGGCTCTTACCATTTTTAGACCTTCTCCAGTTTCCTCTGTTGTTACAAGGGTGAATTTTCCAGCCGACCAAGTCAACATAACGCCCACTGCCTCCTTACACAAAAAATCCCTCTGTTGCTGACAAAAAGTGCGCAATAAGTTTCGTGACCGATACCATTGTTCCGCAAGTTTTCCCGCGTCCGAGGCCGATTTCAACCAGCTGGTGAAGTACGAAAGCGATTCCGATTGTAGTGATGTTGATTCCACAGATTATGACTCAGAGGAACTGGTCAATCGGGTAAACCTGTTGTAACAAGGTCTGGAAGACAAGTCAAAGTGTGGATACGGTTTGATGTTTAGGAGGTCACCAAACGGTAAGCCACGACATTAACTAGGTAACTGAAGAACTGTTATTTACACAGCATGGATGTCACTTCAAATGCTTCAATGGGCACATTAATTACGCTTTCACGAATACGAGTAAATACACTTTCTTATTTTATTTGTTTTGTATACGTCAATGTACCGCAGGCGGTAGGAATAATGATATAGACCAGAATGTTCCTGAAACTTGAAATGTAATCTTACAATCGAGTATTGTGAAAGTATTAATTAGTTAAAATTGCCTCGATGGCTAACTTATAACATGACGTTTGGAGTTTAAGATAAACTGGTTTGCTAGGCCCTATCTAAAAATGACAACTGTAGATAGTCTACTTAGTTTTCTAAAGATCGCTGTACCATTTGAAACCGTTTGAGTTTAATTAAGCGAAGTTTAAAAAACTTAGTTTGACAGTTTTTTTCTGGATGAAGTTTAAGATGAACTAAACTTAAAATTACTATGTTCAATGTAGACAGTCTCTACTGAGGATGTTATTATATTACATCACTGACTGAATCATTTGAAA